ATATTAAAAATTTAAGTACGAGCCCTAACAACTATATGTTGGGACAAGCTCATATTTTGGAATTTTTGCGCTGGTTTTTCAAAATGACTCAAAAATATATGTTTATTTTTTTAAATATAAACATAGCCATATATCCTAAACAACTTGACAATATTTTTATGAATTTGTAAATCAATCCATATTTACAGTAGCGGATTTTGTTTATAAAAGGACAAATTTGCCTGACAACTAAATGTTGGGACAAGTATTTTTAAATAATTAATATCATAGGCGGCTTTGCTATAAACGTCACAAATGTCGCAAACTGTTTACTTCAGCATTGACAGCTTGTAAGTTACTCGATACTTTGAGTAGTGAGACTTACGGTAAGTAATTTTAATTTTTTTAATTTTTAATTTTGTTAATTTAATCCAAAGTAATGGTCCGTGGAAAAGCTACAAATCAAAAACTACGCGAAATTATCATTCGTACAGTACGGGAAAAACAATTCGAAAAATTTCTGATGATTTAAGTATTCCAAAAACCACGGTCTTTAATATAGTAAAAAAATACGGCGAATCGGCCAGTGTAGGCGTTAGAGGTAAAAGTTCGGGAAGGCCAAAAGTTGTATCTCAGAGAGATTTACGAAATTTGGTAAAAATTTGCAAGTCTGCGAGAAGAGGTACTCTTCGCGAAGTAACAGTTAAATGGAATACTGTAACTGGATTAAATATATCAAGAGAATGTTGCCGAAAATAAATGCGGTCTGGGGTTTTACAAGGTAAACTTTATTTTGTGTGGATAATCAATTACCTGAAGATTATTGATACAAATTCTTATTTAGGCCAAAGAAAAACCGCTACTGACAGAAATTCAAAAGAAAAATCACTACAATTGGGCAAAATCTAAATTATCGTGGACACAAAATTATTGGAATAAGGTCATATTTAGCGATGAGTCTAAATTTGATGTTTGCGTTGGAGATCATCGAAAAAGAATAATACGAAATAAAGCAGAAGCCTTTCATAAAGATTGCTTAAAGAGGGTTGTTAAATTTCCTAAGGGGATTATGGTTTGGGGTTGCATGTCAGCAAAAGTTTTGGGCAAATTAAATTTTATAGATGGCACTCTTAACGTCCAAAAATATGAACATATCAAGAATTGTTTCCAAACGAAGACTATATTTTTCAACAAGATGGAGCATCGTGCCATTCAGCAAAATCAACTAAAAATTGGTTCGGTAATAATAATATAAAAGTTCTATCCTATCCTGCAAGTAGTCCGGACCTCAATGTTATAGAAACTGTGTGGCATAAAATGAAGCAATATTTAAGAAACCACCCTTAACGAACAATTTTTGATTTGCGGACAAAACTGCAGGAAATTTGGGATAATTTTTCTCCTCAAATGTGCCAATCTTTGGTAAATACAATGCCATTAAGAGTTCAGGCAGTTGTTAAGGCGAAAGGTGATGTAACTCCGTATTAAACAAATTTCTTGTTGTGCTGTCCCAATATATAGTTGTCAGCAAATTTGGCTTGATTTTGGCAAAATAAGCTATTATCAAAAGTGATTTGTTTGCAAAGTTATAAAAATATAGTAAAATTGTCTAGATCATATTGTAATGTTTGAATTTAGAATAATAAACAAAATAAATTGAGTCGTTTTAACAAATTACTATTTTTATTGCCAAGACCTTGTCCCAACATATAGTTGTTAGGGCTCGTATTGATTTATATTGCCTAAACCAAACATTATACGCGATAAACGATACAAAAACCCAGATTGTTTTATAATTTGAGTTTTTATAAACACCCAAACTGCCCAAACGGCGAAATTTTTCCAGCGATGTGACTGAAATCCTGTAATATATTTATTTCATTTTAGTTATTTATTTTATTTAACACACTCCAGCAGTATCAGCATACTTAACATACTTCAACAGCAAGCGCCAATTACAGAATGGGTCGTACTGTATCAATTACAAATTAAAAATAAAAAATTTATAGATCATAAAACAAATTAATTATAGTAAAAAGTACAAAAAAATATATGCAAAAGTAGAAAACAAACAAACTGTTAGATCAGATCAATAAAATTGACACAAAAAAAATTGATAAAAAGGGGATGTTAGCCGATACTAGTAATTAAAGCTGAAAGCCGGACGCTAAAAATATATCCAAACTGCTCTGGCGTTGATTGTAGGCTAGTTGCATTGTATTAACTGGAGAGTTTTTGTTGATGTTAGTCCTACAAGTGCCGACATAAAATGTATTGAAGTGTGGAGCTGCTGCTCACGGAACAAAAATATTCAGCCTATTGAGAATATCTGAGCAGACTATTTTATTACGAATAACACCAAATAGCGTCTTAATGTCAAATATTCGGCGGCGATCCACTAAAGAAGAAAACAAATGACGTTCCAAGAGTTCCTCTTAAGAAACTTCTTAAATAAAAACAAAACATTTATATAGAAATAATGCACTCGATATTTCTTAATCAACTATATTGATTTTCAACTAATAAACAATATTACAAATTACAATAATAACACATAGGCATAGGATTTAATAACTTATTGCCCTGCAGAGTTTATACATTTTGTAGGGACCTGTTAGACATACTACTATAATATTGTAAAATCCTAAAATTAAGAAATTGCCGCTTATCAAGTTTTTCCCCTGGACCTTTCAATTTCAATCTTTTGTTATTGACGTTCATTTGATAAGCCCATTTATGACAAATAACTTTTCATTATCACTAGTACATTATAATACACAACGGTGTAGATTATATTAAGTTTGTTGTTTATGAATAACTTCAACAAAAGAAATTCGTTGTTAGTGTATGCTGTTATTTTATAAAATAAAATGATGGTAAATAGTAGAGTTTTTTACAATAGCTGTCAAAATGTATACCAAAGTAGGTGAAATATTTGTGCAATGAACTGTTTTTGTAAGAAAATTTGTCTAAATGGTGTAACTAACCCGACTTGTTTTATTTATACAGGGTTGTTCACCACATACGACACGGAGTATTGTAGCTAAACGATGAGATTTTTACAAATTGTAAGTTTTGGGTTCCTTGAAGGACTATTAGAACTACAATTTAAAAATATTTTTACAAGATACAGAGTGTCCCAAATAAATAAAAAATACCAAAGTTGTATTTTTTTAAATGGAACACCCTGTATATTATTACATTTTTAGTTTCTACGATTTGTAAGAATTATTTAAATATAGCGCCAAAAACTAGGCTGACAACTCCTTCCTGGAAGCATAGAATTATGGGTAGCTTGTTGTTATGGTGTTGTTAGTTGTTATGTATTGAGAAATAAACAAAATTGGAGAATAAAGTATAAAAATTACATGAAGTCATTTTTATTGTAAATACAATAA